AGTGAACACGAGTATATTCGCAAGTTTTGACAAACGTTTGCAACAATGGATATAATTGCCATTTGATAAATTTTAGGGTTAATTTTATGGCTGGACTTTTATATTTGGAGGGCAAATTGCTTTATTTTATTTGTTGTTTTATGTTAATGTTAGTTATATAGTTAATGAATAATAAAATTTAGTCACTTAGTACTTCAATTGTTTTTTTTGGATAATTAATGATTTGTATGGCATATTTAAGGTTCAAAATAATATGGATTTGAACTTTTGAGCATGTTCGAGAACGGTTCGTTTATGTTAAACGAGCCAAACACGAACTCAAATTCGAACACGAACTTTGCTTAACGAGTCGAACACGAACATAGGTTTGGAATTCGAACGTTAACAAACAAACACGAACCTTGTTCGAATCGCTTAATAAACAGAGTTCAAACATGAGATACTCGATTTGATTCGACTCGTTTATAGCTCTACATAAGAGGAGAGGCCAAACAGGTCCAATATTTGAAGTCACTTGGTTCCAGCCAGCCAAAGAACCCAAAAAGGGAAATGAAAAAAAAAAAAACCAAACCTCTCAAATCTCTACTTCGGGTGGAAAGAGGTAGGGGTGGGTCAAATAATAAAAAAAATTAATAAATCTGAGAAATCCAATCCGATTGATCTGACTTTAGTGGATATCCAATCTGTCACCAAATCCAAATCTTCGATCCGTTTTGGGGTTATGGTACTTTATTAAAAAATACTTTTAGAGGATAAAAACACTTTTAAGGACTAAAACCATACAGTTACTAAATATTGAGTTCTAAAATTACAATTTTTCCTTAGTCAAATTTAGGAGTAGAGTTTTTAGCCATTGAAACACCTTTAGTACAAGCTCAAAATATGTTTATAGAGAAACTTTTGTTTTTCAAAAAAAAAAAATTAACGTTTAACTTTTACAATTTATTATAAATTTTCAACTAAATGAAGAGATAAACATGTTTTAGAAATTTAAAATTGTACGTTATGAAATAGAAAAAATACTATACAAGTATGTACCCATACAATATGATTAATTCAAAAATACTTTGACCAAAAACTCAACTAATATAAATATTTTTTTTAATAAGCCACTACAGCTCTAAACGAATTCCTAAGGTTATGAGCATTGGATTTTCACACAAGTTTCATGATTCAGATAGTTGATTGGATCCACGTATCCCCTCTTGGATAGCAATTTTCTCTTCCAATCATGAAAAACCCTAGTTTCGATTACCTATCCCTAGGCACCTTCATGCCCCCTCGCCCACTCAAGTCTTTCACTATAAATCAAGTAAAAACCCATCCCAAACTACAATGTTCTTTTGCTTCTTCTTGTATCTGACGCATCTTTACCCGGAAAAAGAGAACATGCGATTTACCTTTGGAGAGTTAACTAGTCTAATGAAGTTAACAAAATTTTGAAGAGTTTCTAGTGGCGACGATGGTTACTTAGGTGTCAAAAAAAGTATGCAGTCTACTCGAACAGTGAAGGAAGTAGTAAGGATGAAGATGAGAGTGCGACAAGTAAAGAAAATGATTTGAGATTGTAAATTATTTGAAATATTTTTACTGTTGCACTTTTTGTGTTGTAATGTATGTAAGATAAAAAGGTAAATGGGAAGATAAAAAGGTGTGTTGGAAATTGTAACGATGATGTAAACAAATAAATTTTGGCAAATAATTTACAATCCAAACAGAGCCCCTATATCATTCTTCATTCTTCAATAGACTCTTGTTCGAGTGAATTAATGATAATGCAAGATAAATTTTGTTTTTAAATCTATTTGGCAAAACATATAAGATTCTTTAGTTCAGATATCCGCGGAACCCAATTCATTAAAACCGGATATCTATTCAAGAAAATAGGCAGGTTTTTAACTAATTCTGATTTTGTAGAATTGGTTTTTGAAAATTAGATTTTTAAAGAATAACTAGTGCTCTCATTTAAAGTTGAAAAAAATTATTTTAATAAATGCATGGGTGTTCACAAAAAGAGTTAAAATTTGGTTTTGACAATATGATGACCAAATTGCCCTTATGTCCTACAAAAGTGACATTTGTACTAATTATATAGTATTTTTATGTAATTAATTGTTTTTCTTGTAAAGATTAAATATTGGAAAAGAAGAAGATGAATGGAGACAAAGACGAATTTAGAAGTGGGGTACAAATAGTAATAAATGACAGAGATGTGTGGGCAGAAAATTTTTTCCCAACCTCAGTAATTATGTTAAAGTTTGAAAGGTATGTTTGTCTGTATGAAAAAGTATGCTAGAATCGAAAAGCCAATATTAGCTCAAGAGATGCTTCTAATTTTAAGCTTTTTTAGACCAAAAACAGCACAAAAATAGCTTTTCGAAAATCAGAAGTTAAATCAAGTTTTCAAAATCAATTGAAAACAAACCCATTCTCTCCTATACACAGAATAATCATCAGGTTTTCAAAAGTTAGCTGAGAGCATAAAAATTAACTCTTCGAAGATCAAAAGTTAGAACCAAGTTTCAAAAATTAGTTGAGAATAGACTCATCCTATCCCACACACGGAATAATCATGTGAGGCGCTCACATATCTGATCTGCTTGCGCTCGTAGATTAGAAGCCATCATTGATCGAGATTGGGTTGGTCAAGTCAAACAATCTTCCATAGACTTTGGGTTTTTTTTTTTAATAATTAGATTTAGGGTTTGTCTACTATAGCACTCATTAATATATATTTCATGTGTCATATTTTTTAAAATATAAAATTAATTAGAAAAAAAATAAATATAAGAAATAGTAGGTAAAATTAAATAGAGAAAGTATATAAATATAATAAAGGGTAATAATTATTAGTATATGTATATATACAATATATTAGGTGAATGTTAACGACTGTTTAGGAAACACCTGTTAGGAAAATTCTTAGATTTATATAGACGACATGATAAGCTATTCGAATCCATCAACTTAGCAAAGGCATCAATTTATATATATGGATATAACCGGTTACGTTATGCATGAGTCATGGCATGATTGTTTAGATATTTACCAACCATGAACAAATCAAGCACTGTCCAAATGAACCACAAAACAAACAACGGGAAACTGAATATACAGCTTTCCATATGCAAAACGAGGACATATAAAAACAGATTATTTTGATACTTGAGATGCCCATTCGTATCTAAGCTTACAAACAACAGCAACATCCCTGCCCAAATCTTGAAGTATCGTCCGACTGGGGAAAATCAATCATCTAAGCCTGCCTGGGGTGCCCCAGAAGGGCCAGAAGGTGGTGAATAATAGGGAGCTGGGCCTATCTTTACCTCTGAAAGATTGGCAACTTTACCTCGAAATCCATCTGCATGAGACCAGAGTACAACATACATAAAACGATAAACCAAGATATCAGAGCTTATTTAAGGTATTGGACTACGAAACTTACTTCTTGTCCCAGAAACTGTTCTTGATGCTGCAGATAAGATGGATGAAGTTGAAAATAAGACGAGAAAGAAAAGTGTGGTGAGAGCGTTGGCGGCCATGAATTCTACAGAAACCGGTGAATTTCGGAAGCTACCACCTATCGAAAGTTTGGTGCAATTGCTCAACTATATATAGGAAGATTTAGGAAATGGTGAAAGAAAGGTTTGAAATTCATAAGAAGTCTTCAAACTGGGTAAATTTGTGAAACAGAAATGAGTAACTATTCCTTTCTTTTTTTTTTAACAAGGGAATGAGCATAAACTCCACTCCGCGCAATAACCCGTCAACCACGTAGAGAGATAAGATGCACTTGACAAATATGTAAAAATATAAAAATACAAAAATGCAAAAATGTAGTATGCCATTCAAAATTACCACAAAGACTTGAAAAGCTTACTGAAAAGACAAAAAAAAAGAAAAGAAAAAATAATATGAATACTTTTTTTAAAAATAAACCCGGTTCTGTCTTGCATCTTCTCCACTAAGATTCCAACAGTGCTACAATTTTCTTCTTCTTAAGTTACTCCACTGCAACTAAAACTTTGCCGCCAAGCTTTTAGTGGTATGCCTCATATTTTGGCCAGTATTTTGTCCAAATTTTACAAATAAAAAAAATATCCTTTTATTAAGGCCCAAAATAAGCGCTGTTGCAACTCTTTTTTTTTACCAATTTTGTTACTGGCAAGAGTTTCAATTTTTGTTTCCTTTTTAGTTTCGGGCATATTTGGCTATAAATAGGTCTTGTTAGGACTTTATTTTCAAACTACTCTCATTATTAATCAAAAATCTTTAATTTCTTTTTACCAAATTTTCTTGTGAGTGCAAAAGTAACTTAAGGCTCTTGATCTTCCGCATCAGATCCTCTATTTGAATACAAGGCTCTGGAGGCCAGGGCTTTCTCTCTACTCTTTAAACTACACATTGAAAGTAATTCCATAGTTAATTTTGGACCACCCTTAGTCCCGTATATTCTCTTCACCTGATATATAGTTAGCCTTTTTTTCTCGATGCAGATAAAAAGCAGTCCATTTCTCCTTTCCATATTGAAACGAAAGCAAAATGACTTTAATTCAAGCCCTACAATTTGTCTTGCTTTCTCACCTTTATGCTTTCTTTTTCTATACACGTTTTATGAATTTCAAAATACCAGTTATCGAATATTGACTTCGAACGGTCAGATGTTGTGTTCATCACAAACTGAACACAGATTTAACTAATCAACAGTCAATGGCACGTTGGCGGCGTGGTGTCAGTATTGTGCCGGGCTGTTATCGTGTGCTTGTGGAGGGGATTCGGGGCCGGAACGGTTGTCAGAATAACCGTTTCGAAAGGTGTAACATCATTTACACACAATGTAACATCATCTATACAAAGTGTAACAATAGAATAACAGTGAGTAATACTAAAACAACATTTTTGTGAATTCCATACGGCGTGAAAATCGAGTTACAAGGAGTGATTTGAGCCGCACAAATTTTTTTTGCCTAATCATGGCCTTGAACCTTCCGAAACGATTGTCAGACTTCAACCCCATCACGGCCCAGTAAGTTGTCATCATCATTACCTGTCTGTTTATTTATGCATTGACACTATTCAAATAGTTAAATCCCTTGGACGTTTTCCAAGATATTAATGGCTATTGTGATTGACACGTTTCCCTTAGACGTTTTCCAAGATATTTATTCACCTAAAATATACCCGGAAACTCTAATCCATTTACTCATATAGCACCTACAGGTAATGTGAGAACCTAAAAAAAAAAAAAATTAACAACAAGGTTAATGACACTTTGCCCTCCTGAATTTAGGAGATAGTCACAGTTTACTCTCTGTCAACCTTAAATATGTGCGCTATACCCTCATAAAGATTAGTCAAAGTAAGGCTGACAATAAGGATGAGTCGGGCCGGTAAATGTATTATTTGGAAGTATTTAATGTATAATTAGTACTTAGTATTGGTTTATGTGTAGTTTTAATGTTGTAGATTTCAAAATAGCTTTACCACTTCATGGTTATATTGATTATCTTAAGGAAATTAAGGAATAACAAGTGAGTTTGGATAAGAATGAATTAGTCTCAAAACTTGAATATATTGTGAGACAAGTATGATCTCTACATTTATGACAAAAGGTGGCGATTTTATTCATCTATTTATAAGTGTTGTGTACAACTGAGAATTTATAGAAAATTAAATAGCAGATTTCTAGCCTAACGTACGTACTGCTACGCTAATTCTATCATAATCATACAACTAATTTTATCTTTATCATATAAGAATACGAAAACTAATTCTATCTTAATCTTATAGTTGTTACAAGAGATAACAAGATAAGAAATAAGGGTGAAGTACGCGAACAGGCCCCCTCAAGCTGGAGTGTGGATGAACGAAACACCAAGCTTGTACAACAATTGTTGGAAAGGATTAAAACCAAACGCTTTGGTGAACAAGTCAGCAGGTTGATCCTCTGAAAGAATGAAATGGGTACAAAGCTCATTGGATTGAATCCATTCGCTAACAAAGTGACAATCAATCTCAATGTGTTTGGTACGCTCGTGGAAAACAAGATTAGCAGCAATATGAAGTGTAGCTTGATTGTCACAAAACAGATGCAAACAATTAGGTTTTATATATAATGAAAATTGCTTTAAAAAATGAGTCTAAAGAAAAAATAAATACTTTTCATATAATTTATTCTTAAATAGTTAATGATTGTAATTCTATGATGAAATTTTGTTTGTCATAGACAAAAAGAACAAAGAAAAACAAAAACAAAGAAAAAAAATAAAAACCTACTGCCAAATGAAAGTGAAAATATTCTTTTCTACTGCCAAAGAACTCGTGATTTCTTTACCCTCAAGATGGTTTAGAGGAGTTTGCTTCTAAATAATCTGTACATGCATGGTTAGAAATATTAACGGTCTTCTTCGCACTGGTTTCTAAGGAACACGAGCCCGAACGGTTGTCAGTAAAATCGTTCGGGCTGGTTTTGTACAAAATACACAAGATGTAATTCACTTTATACATGGTGTAATTCATGGCTCGTTTGGCAAGTAAGTTTTTGGTCAAATTTGTTTGCTACAAGTTTTTTAATAATTTTAACTACAGTAACTTCAAAAAACTTCTCAAAGTTTTTAAACTATATACTTTAAAATATCCAAAAATTTACATGTTTCAAAAATTTTTCATACTTCTACAGTAAACTACAGTAAAGTTTTAGACAAATATGTAAAAAATTCACAAACGGGGCCTCACTTTCAATAACGTATAATTATAGAATAAAATTTTATGAGCCCTACACATAGTGTGAAAAAATGACGTGGGGCTACACATGGTGTGAGCCATACATATATACAAGATTTACATTTTTTTTTTTCAAGCCAAATATCCTCCGTGAACTTTCAGGAAGGTTGCTGAAAGATTTCAGTCAATTTGAGCTGCCATGATTTCCAATGAAGCAGTTAATGAGACACTAGACAAGAACAGACTTTTTGAGTGGAGTCAGCGGGTCGTCTGAAAGGTACAATTTGCATTACACACTTACGTGACCTGACACGTGCAAGGGTAAATTACATTTTGCTTGCTGATTGGTCATGCTTACTATTATTACTACTTTACGTTAAAGGGGATCATATTTTTGTCCCTTTACACTTTAGATTTTGATGATCAAATTTGTTTGCCAAATATGTGGTCTTTAATCAATTAAATTATTTGAGGCCAGGAATCCGTTCACTCATTAATCCCTACAACTATTTGATGAGATTTTGTATTCTAACTAAGCTATTAGTACATGTCTTGTACTATTCCCAATTCACCAAAGTTTCTCCAGCAGTTTCCTTGGGAACTTAATTCTTTTTTAAATAAAAAGTAAAATTCACTAAAAGATTGCTGAAAATCATTCAACACAATTTGATTTAAATCACTATTCTAATGAGATGTTAAACATGCACTAGAAATAATAAATTTGCAATTTAATAGATACAATAGATCTAAAAAATTATGAACAGCTCTGAAAAATATAAAAAATTTCAAGATCGTAATTTACTAAGATAAACAGCTTTTGCTCCTTTGGAACATAATACTATCATCAATCAAAGTTTCCAAGTCCCAAGGAGTTTCTTCTTCTCCTGAATCTTTTTACTTGGCTTCCTGATGAATGTACTTTTGATAGGACGTAGATTGTAGTGCATTTGTATGCATAAGTTATTAGCTAATTAGTTTATTTGAGCTTTATTTTGAATAAAAACTACCTAGTTTTGTTCTCATATTGTTCTAATAGGTGAAGGGCTTAATTGGAGAGAAAATGGACAAAAAATGTAGTGCAAAAAAGCAATGGAAGAAGAAAAGCGAAGAGGAAGGGGTTTGGCAAAATTGACTTTTTAAAGTATTTTGGCAATAACTTGAACTACAAAATTGGATTGAGATGATTCTTGATTCCTTTTGAAACTAAGAGAATGCTCTATAATTATTATGAAAATATTAAAGTCTGGTTCTCACGTTTTCATGGTCAAAAGTCCAAATTATTGAAGTATAATTTTGCTTTGATGATTTTTTGACCAATTCTCAGTATTTTGGACATATCTCAACGTTCAGACTTCCAAATGACATGATTCGTATGGCATTAAAAATTTAATTCATAGAGTTATAAATTGTATATTTCGACTAAGAACTGATTCGGCCTTGTTGATAGAGTTTTTGGCTTCAAAGAGGATCCATATCGTGGATCCCTGGTGATCTTTATGTGGATCAGTTATAATCCGTGCTAATTATCAGTTTGGTCTTCACACTGGAGTTTCTCTAGTCCCAATGACTGGCACTAGATTTTGGGCCTGTCTTCGTTGAAAAAAATGCACAGAAACGTTGTTTTTCAATTCCAATAAACCTAATCCTACCCCGTTTGGGATATTACTTTAAGAAACTATAAATAGGGGTGTTCTACGTCATTTTTAAAGGATTAGAAAACATTAGCCTAGTTTAGTTCTAACATTTTTTTCATAGTTTATTCTTAAAAAATCAAGATCAAACGTGAGCGAATCAAGGAGCACACAACGAGAGGACTAGAGCGAGCAACTGAGAAGTTTTCTTATTTTTTTTCTTATCTTTGTAGCAACTCTTTGGATTCGTGGTTTTAATTTTCCAATTATGCTGAACTAAACTAAATTTACTTCTAGCGTTCGGATTTTTATGAAGAAATTTGATTCATTTTCTAGTTTAATTTCTTATCTTTTGCTATAATTTATCTATCTTGATTTTAATTACGTGTTTGTGCTTGATCACGATAGACATGATTTTTGGGTTTGTATCAAATTGAGAAGCAAGATTCAGTCGTGCACTAGATAGATAAACATATTTAGGTTAATCACGAGAGTAAGTTAGGATTTGTATAATGCACTTATATCACCAAAGTTCTTAAAGGATTTAATTAAATACTTGCAAACTCAAGAGAGACGTAGGATTTAATTAGGCACACTTTAAATGTATCGAGAGATAATCTAAAATATAATTGTATGATGCATTCATGGTTTGTTAAGAAATTAACTAGATAATTGACTCAAATTTTGGATTAAAACTTGAAACCCTAAATTCGCATCTATTGTTTTCTCAATAGTACTTGACTTGATTTGATTATTACTTTATTGCTTAGTTAGTAATTACAACTCGTTGAATTTAAATTTTATTATTTTTGTTAGAATAATTAGAGTAGAGAATTAAATTGTCCTTGTGGATTCGACCCTAAATACTCCAAGTAATTTATCACTATGATTGACCTTATGCGCTTGCATGGATTCGTCAATCAACTTCCTACAAGTCCATATTTAACCTAAGGTAAATTACAGTTTACCGCCCTGTGATATAGCTAATTTCCACATAACCTTCTCTAGTTTTAAAAACTATATATAATTTCTTTATAATTTGGATTAAAGTGTCAAAGTGACGAAAATGATCATCCGTAATAGAACCTAAAAAAATGTCTAAATTACCCTTGTTTAAAAACTAAAATAACTGAAGTGACTAAAATATATAAATATAATATGCATAACACTCTAACCCAGTATGATTTTATATTTTACCATATAACTCTCTTATAGTTTAGTGTTTTATCATATAATCCCCTTATGATTTTCAATATATATATAACCCCATGTAGTTAATAAATAATTTTCAACTTTATATAGGGGTATTTTTGATATTTTAGTTGACTCCGTTATGGATTGCAAATTCCTTCATTTTGACACTTTAATTCAAATCATGAAGGAGTTATGTATAGCTTTTGAAATCATAGAGGGATTATGTAAAAAAAAAAATACTAAACCACACGTGGGTAAAGTGTAATTTGCCCTTTAACCTATAGACAACTAAGGCATGCCTTATGAATGTCTCAGCCACCTGAAGTTTATGCTCCTACAAGAGCACTTTATTTTGAATTATCTTCTCTTGGAAGCGTTTTCTTGTTTTAGGTGGAGTAACCTTTTAGTAGAAGAGATACTCGAGAACGTGTTTAAAATGAATAAAGCCCAAAACGGAGAGTATAATGTGCTACTTGCAATCTGCTTTTGTTCTTGGGAGTGAGACGAATTTTACATGCACAAAACTAAGCTGGTGTCACATCAGGAACATGCTGCTGTGTCTGGGGATAGTGGGATCAAATTTGATTCAAGAAAATGCACGCACTACTTTGTACATGTGTTGCTAATGCTACTTACCCTTTCTGAATTAGTCCATGTTTTGTTGTGGTGTGGGAGAAGATATTCCCTGTTGGCGTTATTTCGAAGAGTAGTAGGGGGGGCAGCGGTGAAGGGGAAATTTTCCAAAATCTCTATCTGGAATGGATGAGACACCAAAATGGATTATGGATATTGGTCAATGATGCTTGGGCCTGATTTACACACTAGCAGCAATACTCTTTCTGTCCTACTTGGTGTTCCTTTTACTTGAATTTATCTGTGTTTGTTTGTGAGAAACATGATTAGTAAAATACAGAATAATCATAATATTAATTATTTTACATACGTTTATCATAATTTTTTAAAGTATGATAAAACAAATTCGACACCAAGATATGAGTTGAACTAAATAGTGCATATAAATGTGTATGTGAATAGTAAGAACAACTTCTTCTTCTCTTTCTTTTTTTAAGTACGAACAATTTCAACTTTAACTATTATCCTTGTGTATGAGACATAAAAGTGTTTTAAGTTTCATTTCTTTTGGATTTTACATGCATAAACTTATCGAAGTTTTGTTATGTATCGTAACTATGTTCTTTATAACAGAAAAAAAAAATAGGATATCATCCTTAACAAATTTTAAACATTTTCTCACAAATTGAAGTATTGCTTATGAAGGAAAGCGTGAGACAAGTTTATCACAAATATTATATAAATAGTTAGAAGTATGAGTATTTTTTAAAATAATTTTGAAATGTACAAAATACAATTTTATTTTCATTATAGATACAAACATGAAATATAGAGACTTAATTTGAGTTTTTTTTTTTTAACCTAAAGATAAAGATCCTAAGTTCAAATCCCCCTTTCCCTTCCCACTTCTTAAATCCCACCCTTTTTGGACTAAATTTTTTTTTAAAGAAATAGAGACTCTTATTTAGCAATATAACCAGGCCAATATACATTCTATTCTTGACATCAATTCTTCTCATATTTCGGCTTAATAGTAGGCCAGATCTGATGATTAAATTCGGATGAAGTTGAGTTCTACTTTTGTGGATGGAAAATTGGCAAAAAGCATATGTATCCAATAGTCCAAGGTTAAATGCTTTGGGCCAGGTTTGATGACAACAATAGCGCTTAAAAACCTTCCAATTGCTGCTGAGTTCCCATATCAGTTGTGAACACCAAATCGGATCGGCCTACAGGCTTTAGTGTCCTCCGGCGACACCCAATGAAAGTGGTGTCATATAGAGAAGATTAGCAAGGCCCAGTCCCAGAATGGTGGGCACAAATGGAGAAATTGTTCAAAATTTTTTGGGTTTTCTTATGCTGATTTGGGTCTAAATCTATTTCATCTACCCATAAAGATGACTGATAGATTGCTTTTAAAGTCAGTTTGGGAATTTTTTGCTTTTGCTGATTGGGATCCATGTCTATTTGGGCTAATTCTGTATACGTTTGATACTTCAAAACTCCTTGGTGTGAATTTTTTTCATTTGATTGACAATACTATTTTGGATAAATTTCCAAAAAAAAAAAAAAGACAAAGAACAATTGTTTTTCTCAAATAATGCTGCAATAAAATGCTCTGAAGCATGACTTGGACAATTTTTAAATCGGCTCAATTTGGTTGTCAGATGCATTAAGGGTACAATTTTATAGGTTTGGAACAAACTAGAAATCATATGCATAGTTCGCCTAGATTCTGGATTCACATGTAAACATGCCTCTGCTATTTTGAGGACGAATACCAGGATCTTTTCAATTTCTTGTGTGGGATGCGAAAGTCTCTGGTCCAACAAGTCTTTCAATTCTATGTCTCCAGTTGTTGTTGAAGACATCAGATGGGCAACAAATTCACCAGGGGTGCTTCCCCTTGATTATTTCCAATGTCAGGACCCCAAAGCTATAAACGTCACATTTTTCAGCGACTCTCATTGTATAGGCAAGCTCTGCATGGAAAATCATGTTATCAGTGAAACCTATACACTTAATACCTGAAAATAGAGAGAAATTATAACCCTGTTAGTTACCTGCTGCAGTGTATCCCAATATGCCAGCAAGAGTAGTCCAATTGCATGAGCCCTTCTGCAGGAAATTTAGCAGTACCAAAGTCTGAAACACGAGCCTCGTATTCTAAATCAAGCAAAACATTGTTGCTCGAAACATCTTGCTGAACTATTGAAGGTGAACAATCATGATGCATGTAAGATAGTGCTTGAGCGACACCTTTGATGATGTTCACCCTCTTTTCCCAATCTAGTTCCTTAGCTTGTTCGTCAATGCTGAAAATTTTGGCCAAGCTACCTCGCTTGAGGTACTCGTAGACCAAAAAGGTGTGTTTGGAACTTGAGCAGAAGCCGTGGAGTTTCGCAATGTTTCTATGCTTGATGTTTGTCAAGCCTCTTAACTCGTTCAAGAAACTGTTGAAGTACACCTTCTCAGGCAACAGATGAAGTTTCTGTACGGGAACTAAGTTGTGGGGTGGAAGCATTGGTTTGTACACACTTCCATAATCAACTCCTGTTGCTTTTAATATTTCTCTGTACATTGCATGAATAAGTACGAGTGCTCCTAGAAGAGGGAGTGCAATTATGAGAACAAGATTCAACCCCTTATCCTTTACGTGCTTTCTAATTGATTGATAACTTTCGCAAGCTTGTAAACCTGTAATATTGCCGCACTATCCCCTCAATTGTTCTGTGGTTATATTTTTAAAGGCTCTAACATAAGGAAATGGACCTTCTAAGGTAATTGAATGATATGTCAAAATGCAGTTCAGCCATAGCTTCTGAAAGGAAGCCTGAGAGGTCGTCATGGGAAAGATCCAATATATCTCTAGACTCTGAAAACTTCTGATCAAACTCAGGTGGTATTTCTCCGCTGATGTAATTATGACTCAGATCCAAGATAGAAAGGTGAGTTAACTCACCTAGCTCGGGTGGAATCAATTGACTTAGATTGTTGTTGCTCAAGTTCAGGTAAAACAATTGTTGGCAATCTTTTTTGTTAGATAAAGCAGATTTTTTACAAACCTAAATTCTTCAGGTATTTTAGCAGAGAAGCCAGCTTCATAACTTGCTTTGGAATTTCCCCAGTCAAGGCATTGGAAGAATGATCAAGACTATGAAGTTAAGACACGTTCTCTAGCTCTGAGAATTGTCTGCAAGCGAAAGTGCTTCCAAGTTTGGGCATCTAGCCCTTTTCCCAGAAAGTCTGCCACAGAATTCATTATTGCTAAGATCCATCAAATTCAAGTTTGGATAGATAGCAAACATCTGTGACAGGTTCCTAGTTAGCGGGTTTCCATCGAATCCGACTCCAAATAAGCTTGAGCAATTTTCAGGTTTAATAGTAATCGGAGTATGAGGCCGTTGTTGAGTGTTCCATTTTGGCGAAGATGTTATCACAAAGCATCAACATGGTGAGTACACTATCTTGTATGCATTATAGATGATTATGAAATACCAACCATCAACAGATCTAGCACTTTCCAGATGAACCACAAAACAAGCAAAAAAAAATTGAAACTTGACTTTCCTTAGGTAAATTGAACTAGTCGAGAAGACTTTGATCCACTGGTTACAAATGAAGCACCGAGACTTCGAAATATTGAGTTCAAATCTCCTTTCTTCTTTCCCATTTTTTAAATCCCATTCTTTCCTTATTAGATAAAAGTTTGAAAAACTAGGACACATTGGAACAAATATCTTGGATTTCACATTATTTTGATACTAGACATGCCCATTTGTATATAGGCTTATCGACAACAATAAAAAGAAGTACTTACAGAACAAAAAAAATTAAATAAACACAAAAAGAAGCAACCTCCCCGCCCAAAGAAAATACAATAAAAAGAAGCAACTCCCAACCCAAATCCTGAAGTTTCGTCTGATTTTGGATTATCAACAACAAAAGCCGATTGGAGAAGGAACATCCATTGCCTTTGATCTTGGTGACCGGATGGGACTTGGGTGTACCTTTACCTCTGAAACATGGGTATCGTTGCCCCTAAATTCGTCTGCATAAAACCAAAGCACCACAAACACGAACGATAAACTAAACTATCAATTGTCATGTAAGGTATTTGTGAACTACACAACTCACTTGTTTTCCCGGAAATTGTTCTTGATGTTGCAGATGAGATGGATGAAGTTGAAAGTAAGACGAGAAAGAAAATTTTCGCGAGAGTTTTGACGTCCATGAACTCAGAAGAGGTCGTTTGTGATGCTACCTTTATACCGGATTCCGGTAGCGCAATTGCTCAGGTACGTATGCTAGTGACTTTGGCACACTGTATTTATATCTCAAGGGCAAATGATAAGAACACCTAAACAAGGTAACACTCATTATTATGAAAGTTAAACATTATTATACCCATCAAGTATCATGCATAAATTTGATATTTTCACCACTCACAAACGGGCTTTTTATCAAATTTAATAAATTTTGATAATATTCGGTAACATAAATTTCTGGTTTTGAAATTTGATAAAAAAAAATTTTGATATTATACACCTAAAGTATAATTTTTCTTCTATACACATTTTCATTTTAGTCTATATGAATGGAGATTTTCTTTTTCTTTTTCTCTCTTTACAAATCTAAATTTTTGTAGACAAAATTAAACCGGTACCACCGATTATATAGATGAATCCATTAAAAAACACGTGTAATAAAAAAGTTTTTGAAAAAAATATTAACTAATGCTGTCCGAGAAAAAAGATAAAGAACATACGCGTAGGGGTAGTGGGCAATGTAAAGTCACTTTTTAATTATAGGTAGTTTGGGAAAACCATTACACGACAAGATAGATGCAACACTAATAAACATTGTTCTTCTTTATAAAAATCATACAAGTTTGCTAACGGTGCCGATTAAAAGTGGCCTCGAGTATTAAATTGTTGGAAAAATGATTCAAAACATTTCATACATTTCGTTAAATGAATTTTTTCGTCCTTTATTTTTAAAATATTAATTTTATGTCCCTTATAAATTTAAGTTAACTAAAAGAAGTTAAAAAAATGTAATCCCAACCTAAATTTTTGATCACTTTTTAGTCTGAAATTACCATGTGATTCACATATAGTCGTTTTTTATGTACAAAAAGGTCATATCGCACTTTTTCAGTAATAAATAAATATAGATTGGATTAGATCACACATTTTTAGAAGAAAAAATGAATATCGGTCCTACTTTTTTAGGGATAAAATAAATATAGATTGCATTATTTATTTAATTATAAATGGCACCTAACTTTTTTGTCCTAAAAAATAACATTCGTGTATATCATGAAATGACTTCAACACACACGACTTGTTTATAGTAAGTCTACCCACTTCAAGCTTTGGAATAATTACGCTTTACGGTAAAGATTAATTGTTTTTATATTGACCGTCTAGTGATTATTTTTATACTAGTAGTTTTGGATGTATGCCACATATTCATAATTTGAATTTCAAATTTGAATTCATGTTATGTTACATGCTATAAACGCTGCTAATATAAAAAATATATATATACATTGACAATAGATAAAAAATTTATCCTTACAATAATCATAATAATTCAACAAGAGAAAAATAGAAATCTTTTTTGTATGACTACTTACTTAAATAAAGGGTAAAAAGATACATCACCATGTGAAGCCGAGGTTTCTTATTCTTATTAAATGTTTTGCCTCAAAAAAATACGTCATTTCTTATTCCGTAGCAGTTCTAAGTACCAAAAACAATATATCCATGTGTTTTGAAGTTAATCAACCAAATGACCGTGAAATGAATATAGGGATAATTTCAGAAACCTTCCCTGAGATTTGTCTTAATATCACTCAGCTCCCCTCAAGTTTTTAAAATCTCACTTGCCTCCCTTGTCAATTTGACAAGACTAAATATTCCTATTAAAGGTTACAAATTAACAACATTACCCTTGCTCTTAACAACTATTTAACCAAAAAGTCAAAACAAAATAAAATTTTAAAAGCAAAAAATGTAAAGTAAAAAAAAATAAATTGCTAGCTAATAATGGTCCATATTTCTTTACATTGGAGTCATAGTGAAATAACAAAAGACATGAATAAATTAAATCTAATCAAAATCAACCACTTAGGAGGATCTTAGATAGTAATTACAACCTTATTAAATTTTGTGCATAGTTACAACTAAGGAAGTCAAGATATTTTTTGGAAAAATATGTTTTAATTCATTGTGTAATTTTAGTTGTATTGAAAACTAAAATTATCTCTTCATACATGTGAATTTTTCAAGGTGTAAATTTTCCTTTTGTTCAAATATAACTAAAATAAATAGTTTACGTCAAAAAATTTACACCTTATAAAAATTTAACCTTATTTTATTTTGTATTGTTGTCATAAATTTCATAAGTAGGATAATATAAGGGTATTATTGGAATTATTCTTCTTGTATTTCTTCCAAAGGGGTTAAAATGTTACAAAAAATATCAATCTAAGGGTGAGATTTTAAAAATCTCAGGGAGCTGAGTGATATTTCTAAAATTATCCCATGAATATATTATGCAGCAACCACACAGCAATGGCCCTTCCTTCTCCTCAAATTTTGACTGGTTTTTCCTGCTCCAACTTTTAGGGTTGGGAATAATTAAGCACTAACGCCAAAATTTTCAATCATATCACATCATTCAATTATCTTGTATTTAGTTTTCTTTAATTGATTTATAATGTTTGCATCTCATAGGCAAATTGGCAGCACTTCATTAAGGTTAAGTAGATATTCATTTTTCCACCCATTAGTGCAGGTTTACACTTTAATTCTTTATTATGGCTGCCACAAATAGATTAATAGATAAATACATCTACATTGGCATTCTCCTTTTGAATAAGTATGCCAGTAATGATATAGAATATTAGCAAGATAACAGCCACATTTACAGCACGTACTCTCCCCCGGATTGGAGCTTTGGTACCCCTTCCGTTTGGTTGGTAGTTACAATATATATTTAGGATGCTTATGCATAGTTATGTTGACAAATGTGATTATGTTATTAGGGTAAAAATTAGTTTTTATAAGATTAAAATTAAAAGTTCAAAAAAAGAAAAAAAATTATACCAATTGCCTCTACTCTAACTTTATACATTGTATAAATAGCATCTAATAAATGAATTTAAAATTTAATGATGGGATTTAAATGGATAAAGCAAAACCGTTATCCAACCTTCTACCATGCTTTCCTCATACTTGTATATTTACCACTCCAATAGTAATACAGTTTTACCTTAGAAAGATTGCAAAAACCCAGAGTGAAAAATATAAACATTAGCTATAAAAAGAACACCGAAAGAAGATGAATGTATTATTATGCAGCTGCCACACAAGATTTGGTAATGAACAACTAAATTGAACATTTTATCTTTCCTGCTCCTCCAATTTTGTTTGGTTTTTTCTGCTCAAACTTTCTAGGGTGGGAATGATTATTATCAGCACTAAAACGAAGCTTTCCAATCATTTTGCATCACTCAATTATCTTGTATTTTGTCAATTGACTTATAGTGTTAGCATCCCATTGGCAAATTGG